AGCAAAGCTTTATCATCCCGGGCGGTCCAAAATCTGTGTATTCCCCAAGTACATACCGCGCGCCTTAAAACTCAAGTAGTCCAAGAAACTCAAAACCGTGGCTCGTGTCTGGTAGGTAACACAACAATGCTGCTATTACTATAGGCCAACGTATGAAGACAGCAGACTCACACTGCAGAGAGTTTTCGAGGCTGTATGCAATGGGGTCGATCAGGCTCAGGACCAGCTTCCTTCCTTAGATTCTTAACGAAACATCCCGCGATTAATTTCCATGGTCATGGTTTTGTTTAATTCGCAATTGCATCATTGTATGGGTCACAAGTCACATGTGGAGGCCCGGTTTGTAGGTGGTGGAAAACAATAAAGAAAGACAGATGTATGAAAGCGAAGGAATCAATCAAATAAGGCAAGGTGGCACGCGTTGTCTAGATTGCTTTGCGCACATTTAAGATGGCTGTTTCCCGATTTAGAAGTTCTTTTTCAACGGTTCAAAACTGATTCCAGTGTAACAATGCCACGGGCAGCTGAATATAGTCTCATCTTCAATTTTTGTTTTCTTTTGATAAATAACCAACCATTTCAATGGAATCATGGGAGCAGAGCATATGCACGAGTGTAAGACAAGTCCCTATTCTATTCACCGAAGGTGGTCCTTTGTATGTTTTCATCCCTTTGTACGTTCTCAGTTGCGCTATCCGAAGAAACAGTTTCGAAGAATTAAAGAATGGAAGGGAGCTGTGGGAGATAGGCATGCGTAGATTTAATCATAATTAACATCCCTAATTTAGAGCATCTTCCCATCTTCTTCTGGCAGGATTGAAAGTTAGAAAGGGTTGATTTTGTGGGTGAAAATATTTTGGAACGTGACATTTGTATGAAAAGAATTATATATTTGTCCTCCTAGGACACGTCTCAGTTTTAAGTTTGGTAGAGGACCATTAACCGGAGGAATAAAATGTTACTATTTTGCACTCTCAAAAAAAGAAAACGATTCGCTTAGTACAGATACTTGGCCCGAAACGCATTCAAAAGTGTATGCAACGCCGCGAACATGTTGCATGCTTTTTTGTGGTAACCTGTGATTGGGTCTATTCTCATGTTTACTGCGCCGGCCGTCCCCAATTCCCCACTCAACTCGCCACACCGGCTACTACGGCCAATTTGTCATGTCTCCCAGCTCCGGACGTCACAGAGAATTTAAAAGCTACCAGTTGCCACTTTCTGCTGGTCCCTAGGCTTTTCTTTTCCATCCACAGCACTCCACCCGTCCATCCGCCCCAAGCTCACAGCTAGATGAAGGAACAAAGCATAGGCCTCCACTACCCGTGCCAACTGCCTATTTGTTCCGTGTTTTCATTTTTTCAAAACTTGGATATCGACACATATATATATACGAGTCCCTTGTATTTAGTGGAGACACACAGGGGGAGGATTGACTTAGGTAGTGTGCGCACGATTTGTTGGGAGTAAATTTGCTAGTGTGCTGCAGGATTATTACGTCTTAGGAATGAGTTAAAAAGGCTGTTGAGACTTTTGTAAGAATGCACGGCTTAGAAAATTTGTCAGGTCTCCTCCTAGGATTAAGAAAGCAAATTTCGAAAGAAATAGCCACACACAATTGCAATATTATATATAGATATATGCATGTACGATGTGACAGACACACAGTAAGCTTTCGAAATGTTTTGCTTTCCTCCATTTGTCTCTCCTGCAAATTACCACTCTTTTTAACATAGCAAAAGAAAGTTGGAATATACAGCATGCATGTGCAGGAATAGGATACTTTTTAACCTCATCCTTAGCAAGAACATGGTTAAACCTTGGACTTTCCCTCTCGACAAAATTCGAGAGGTCGTAGATTCTTGGCCATATCCCTTTACCGCTAGGTTGAAACTTTAAAGACACAGTCCACGTTTCGATTCACCGGGAAAAGCTTGCTATTCTGTCGGTTTAGCCGACGAAGTGCTGAGAATCAGAATAAGTACATAATGGAACGATTCTTCTCTTGCAGCGGGAAAGTAGTACGCGCGTCTTGGAGCACTTGTGCAGTAAATATTCGCGCGTTTAATAAAAATGTCCCTAATCAAATTATATGCAAAGCTAGCTAGTTTCTGCTCATCTTCTTCTTACTATTGAACATGGAGATCAACACGGACAGAAAATGAATAGGTTAACCCCGCCCGGCCCGGCCTGAAAACTGATTACATTTACATGTACGTACTCGCTGTCTTTCTCAGCCTGCAGCGTATCCGACACGTGTAAAAAAAAAAAAAAAAGTACAAGCCTCGCGTAACAACAAACTTCAAAGCCCTGTTTAGATGATTGCTGTTTCTAAGAGTTTTAATATGTATGTATATACTATAAGATTAAAATGTGATTTAGAACCGTGTAGTACAACGTAAAAACAACCACCTAAAATTTTACTTTGAAATGTAGCAATCGATCCGTTGAGCTGGCAAAGGCTGTTGCGGCCTATACATGGCACGTTTGTTCTTCGCATTCACGTAGTGCTGCGATTTTAATCAGCAGCAGTGCCATAATTATTACTGGAAGACAAAAGAGAATGAAAGGGTGGCTCAAGTAAATGGTTGTTTGATAATGCTAACTGTTAGTAACTGTGTGCAGAGCTACAAATGGAGGCGATGAGGATTGATGTGGTTTATTTATTTATTTACGTTTCTTCCTTCCTTTCTTTTTTTGGGAGAGAGAAGGATGGATGTGCTCGTAAGCTTTTCATACCTGATTGTGACTGAAAAGCTTAACTTTTAGAAAATGGAGGACAGATGAGATGAGTCATGAGAGCGAATATAAATGGGGAAAATAATCAAGGAAAAAGATGGGAGGTGGGAAAGGAGTGGGGAGGTATTCTTGTTTTGTCGTAGTATTCGTTCCCATCCAACGTTTGTTTCCAAGACTTTCCATGTTTGGAAAGATTGACGACAATTGATGCATACAAAATTATATCTATGGGGTTTCTGAGTGGCCACGACGATGCTTATCATTCTAACCATTCCTTCCCTTTGCGTGGTGTTAATGTTAGATGGTAGAAACGAGAAAGGCAGCTGACGATAAGATCCATACTGTCCCCGTTAGGTAAAGCCTCGCCTCCTTCCTTCTCTGTCGATTTCCTTCACCTTCATTATCACATATGCCCATTACATGGTCCCCATTTTATGGGGGGGGGGGGGGGGGGGGGGGTTTCCCACAATAATTTATAACATGATTATTGTTGAAAAAGTTTCAGTCTGGTGTTTAAGATTAAAACTCCAGAAATTTAATTTTTTAAATTCTACATCTGCCTTTCTTTTAGGGAAAAAAAAAAACAAATAGGCATAGCTGCCTTATCAACTTAGTGGTTTACGTAGTACTTGATCAAATGTTTGACAAAGATGAGGTTGTCGAGGCAAGCGGAGAGGTTGTAGATTCAAGCTTCAGTAAAATTTATGTAGCAGTTCTTTTTTCAATTCTTTTTTTTTTTAATTTATGTAGCAAATAGAAACTTAATGACAATTGTAAAATAGGTTTACCATATGAATTGCGCCCCATAGCCAAAATTCTTTAAAATGAACATTCTCTTGACTAATATATGTAAAAAGAATGACACTCATGTATTTTCTTTTCTTTTTTGCTAATAAATTTGTTACGTACAATAAGACAACAAAGGCGCACCCCCCCCCCCCCCCCCCCAAAAAAAAGAAAAAATGAAGCCTTTCATAGTTAACAGTACCAAATGCATCTTTCACTTTTCTTGCCGTGAAGTGAAGGGCTGATTTTCTCCATCAAGGTCTTCCTCACTCTTGTCATGCAATTCCAGGTGAACTATCTTACCATTTGAATAGGGATACATTGTCACGATCTTCTTTGAGTACAATGCGAATCTTTATTGAGAAAAATGCCCCTAATATATTGGCCTTTTCTTTTTATTATTCCCATTTCTCTTGCTTATTCTCTATTTTTTTATTTGTTTTTTTTTTTTTTGTTTTTGGGTTATGGGGTTTACTCTTTTTCCCTCTCCTGGTACGCTCTAAGGAAAAATGAAAAGGTCAAAGAAAAGATTAGAAAGATATATCTTTGAACCAATATCTATCACTTTGGCAAGGATTAAATGGCTACTGAAGAAGTTTAAGAGAAGAAAAATCATAATTATTTCAAGAGTTTTTAGGGTTATTTTAGCCATCTCATATACCACTATTGATACTACGCCCCCCCCCCCCCCCCCCCCCCCATCTTCATGACTTTCTTTTGCTCGGCCTCCACCACCTGGTCCACCTCCATGCTCATAATGGCAAACGAAATTCTACCGAGATTGGTGTAGATCTCTGATGATTTATCACATTCCCAAAAACCAACTTGTCCACTAACATTTCCATTAATGTATACTGCTTCGTTACCTTTCTTAATCTCTTTGGGTCTTTGCTGCTTTTGCAAATATGTTAACAGTTTTCAACAACCAGAGATGACCGCGAATTTCCAGTTAAGGAAACCGGACGATGCTTTATTGTCTAATGATTGCGACAAAGCCTGGAGGAATCTTCAATGTTTTGTGCCTGCTGCCTCTGGAGTTCGACACTGGACTAAAAACGTCAGCTACCGATTCAACCCCGCATAAATAAGAGGAGACAACAACGTGGTTTTCTAGAATTGCGCACGTTTTGGTCTTCCAATCCCGACATTTTTCGCTCTCTTTCTTTTGGCTCTTCAATCTGTCAATTTGCAATTCTCCTCTCTTCCGCGGAAATCTCTGCGATTGACTCCTGTAGCGGAAATTTCTGCGATTGGAAATTAACTCCAGGACTTTCTTAATTAGGGAGTCCCTTTGTCATTGCCATTTTAATAGCAAGGGTTTTTTTTTTTTTGCGTCCTATAAAAAGAATTTTAATTTTAGTCTTCCTTGTTCTGACTTCTTTTTTCCTATCCTTTTCCATTTCTACAAAAACCATCCCTTAACTAATAATATGGGCGCAATAATTTCCTAAGAAAATTTTTTGAAAAAGAATTTGTGCAATGTAAAAGGCATTATTATTCCTTATAAGGATGGTTTTGAGCAATTTAACAAACCAACACCTAATCTTCCCTACTAAATTGCTAAAAATCCATCTAGATGGGCAAAGAGAAGCGTTTAATAAACTTCTCAAAAGGAAGCGTACATCTCGACTCCGGGCATCGGATTTCAACACTATCTGTTACCCTTGGAAAATGAAATGATGAGGGAAGGTCGTTTCACGTATACAAGAAATCTACTAGATGAGATAATCCACAAAAAAAAAAAAAGTTAAAAAAATACAACCGCAAAATCATGCGATATTGGCATTGGGAAGAAGGCTAGATCAGGATAAAACAGAATTTGAGAGGACAGAATTTGGTCCAAATGGCGGGATAGATTCATTTTCCTCTGAAGGCTGGAATGCTATAGACATCTCGCTATCAGCTAAGCAATCTCTTCCTTGCGCTGTTGCCCAGCAAAGGTACGTGTGATCCAGATTCGGCCTTTATTGTCACTTGTCCTGAGGTCCCAAAGCATTACACAAGTATTCCAATTAATTAGCGCACCATGAACCTGGATAGGAAAAAGTAAATAAAATCAGCAAATTTGTCATTTCAATAGCAGACCGTTTAAGGCTTAAAAAATGAGGGACGGCTGAAGGTATTAAAAGAACGTGGCCATATGGCAATATTTTACAAGCTGCCTCTGAAACTGATCCAGCCAAAATCAACAAAAATTCAAATTCCCATGTGAGTTCTTACAATGATTGTATGGAACTTTAACGTCGGCAATATCTAATAAACTGGCAGCTGGAATACCTTGGATAGAACAAATGATACTCTCAGGAATTACCATCCTTCAATAACATTCAGAAATATCAACACTCCCAAAAATTTGGATATGGATGCACACGGACTCTTTTCATGAGCAGCATGCTTAGCTCTAATGCTACGAATTATTCAACACAGGTTACTGGACACTATTAAATCATACAGAAATGGTGCAGTGGCAAAATACCTGAAAAAGAAACTCATATGCAAAGTGCACGCGTATCAGGTAGCCCTCCTTCAGATTGATCATGATTCAAATTATATTTTGAATTATACAACACAGGTTACCGGACACTATTACATCATACAGAAATAATGCAGTGGCAAAATACCTGAAAAAAGAAGCTCATATGCAAAGTGCACCCATATCAGGCAGCCCTCCTTCAGATCGATCATGATTCAAAACATTTTTTGGTGCTTTCTTGCGTTGCTTTTTGTCTTTTCTATCATTGCCATCATCAACTGATTGTTTTCTGAAAAGATAATATGTGATCAGCGTTAGGAAAGGAAAGGCAGGTTTATGCTGCATGGAGAGGGGTGAAGAAGAGTTCCTGGAAAGAATATATTTCGCTCCTCATTTCCTTGGATTTTGAAATACTGTAATTATGTTTCGGATGACATCTGAGTTTAGACATATTTACACCCGGTTGCACGTCCTCAGCTCAATTTTATACTTATGAGTTCATGAATACTCTTCGTCCATTAAGCTTTATATACCTAACAGTTAAGCAATGACCAGCTGTGTTCTCCACAATGAAATGGCTGTCCTTCAAAATCTTCTCTTTAGTTCTTAAAGTATATGAATATCACAGAAGAAACCAATGTCATTCTTCACTAGCCTAAAAATGCTTTAATCAACAAGTCTAGCATTCCTGCGAAAGATTAAGCCTGAGTTTTCAAATCATCCTGATTTAAGTTTATAGACCCCTTGCATCTTCCCTTGTGTATTTCTGGGCAGACTAAAATTTCACATATGCACTTCCACTTCTACTAAACCTTCTGCCTTGCTCTAATAAACTGACTTCTATTTCAACTTTAAATACCGATTACTTCTATGAAATGAATTCCATATATATCAATCTCAAATATGACGCATTTACCTGCAAACATAGTACCACCATACATAAATCCATTAATTTTTGGAGAGTTGTAGGATGAATACTCATCCAAAGGTCAAAGTTCAAGTATGAAAGATGGCATGCAACAGAACGAACATGGTGCACGTAGTCCAGCTAAAACAGAATAGGTACATTGCAGGACTGCTGAAGTGTTCCGTAATGATAATGTTGCAATAAACCATCCAAACTAGATTGTAACAAGATTCCCCTCTAGAGCCAAGTTGCCTGATGATTTACTTCCAAAGGAAGAATGGCAGCCATTGCACTGCATAGTATCCTAGAACTCGAAGAAGCAACTTTGACCAAACTCATAACACGAACCAATTTATGGCTTTTGGCTTTTAAGTACCCAAAATTTTGATTTTGTAGGAAAATCCAGAAAAACTAATTAAGCGGTATTCAGGAAGCATACCCCGAAAATCTAGCAGAAGATTTTCCAGCAACTGATCCACAGCAAGACTTGTATTTCTTTTTTGAACCACAAGGGCATGCCTTGTTTCTTGGAATTTTCTACAAAAATATCAATGGAAAGAAATGTACCCTTCAAATGTAGCATAAGAAGGAGAAGGGAGAGCATTAAGAATCCCAATTCTTATAACCAAAAAGTAATGAAACCTTGTCATCCAACGATAAGCTATTCTCAATCTGAGTCATTTGTGTATTTCCAGTCTTTTTTTCATTTTGCATGCTTTGCTGCTCAAGTATTTCACTGTCATGCTCACCTGGCCATGTGAAAATGTAATAGTGCAGCACAAAAGGAGGTTCTTAGCTAATAAGACAAACCAACTGAAAAAGAAAAAGTATAAGGGAGAGAGATGACTTGTTAAAAATGGATATCTGTGTAAGTTTCTAAATCCATTTTCTTCTTCCTTTTTCCCTTTTAGTATTTGTAAGTTTGGGCAGGGAAGGAAGGTCAAGTGAATTCAACAAACAGAGGAATTGTTTGGCAGTGCAGTAGTAAAAATTAGGATGAATACTATTGAAAACTTCAATGCAATACGCCAAACAGAAGTCTGTCCCAATAATACTAGCTGATGCTAAAAGTAAGGCTGCAATAGCTTTAGACCAGACACAGAATAAAAGAAGAACAACAAAAGGATTTCGGAAATGCGAGGCCTACTGGGCTGGATACAAGATATGATCAGAAGGGTTACATTAAAAAGGGAACTAACTGGCCATTACCATGAACAGTGTTTTCTGAAATATAAAGCTGAACATTTTCTTGTAAACTCTCTTCAGAATTTTGTTGAGCTATTAGATACTCAATTGCAGCATCAGCATCGCCACCTACTTCTTGTAAAACCTGGGTTTTAGCTGATATTAGAAGGAGGGAAAGATTTCCCTGAAGCTCCATGAACTTAAAAAGTAATTAGTAGAAGCAAGATAGGAGCGGCAATGCATGCTTATGAAGTACGCAAAGCTACAAGGTAGAACTTCTTCCCAATTATTACCTTTTTAACCTTTTCAACATCTTCACATCCACTTCCTGTCACGACCATTTTAAGACACCTTGGCTGAACATTATTACCAGCAATGTCTCCCATAGATTTCGTGGTGGCACTTTTTGCATGATGAGATGTCGCTGAAAGATCAGCATCAGCCTTTCATATACTAGAGGTTATCAGACTTCTAGGAAAGATGTCAAAGAGACAGGGCAAAAAGGGCATCCAGGTCATATGGATCAAATTATGAATTTTCATAACAGAGGAAAAACAATGAAACTAAAGATGATAATGACAGAAACCTTGATTACAATTGGCCTTGCTGGTCCAGCACAAGTGTCATCCTTTGATCTGACACTGTTGTAATGCTCTCCATCATGATAAGAACTGCAAACAGATACACAAGTTATGCTGCCGATACCAAGTATCTCTCAACAATCAACACGGATAAAGCATGTTTTCTGTTATCTCATGGAATAAGTAAATGAAGATATGCCTAATGGAACAATTAAAACGAAAACAATCCTAACTAGTGGCTTTTTGGAATCTTCAAGGTCAGAGTTGGGATTACACACTGCTGCCAGCCAAATGGAGATCAGGATGTGAAAGAAAGGCAAGGAAACACAAAAGTTAGAGACCTTAATTTCTTCTACCAGAATGTAAAAGCCCCAACAAAGAAATTAAACAGATTAATGTCAGAAACAACTTTCATCCAACCAATTTATAACAGATAATGTGATTAAGTAACGAAGGAGTTACTTCTTCTCTCTTTACATTTTTGCTCTGGTAAGACTTGTTGCTTGTGGCGCTTTACGAATCCATCTAATTATCATTAACTTGTCATGCATGTCACCTCCCACTTGCTTCTGGCATGATTGAATTTAATATGTTAAAATTAACTGTCCGGCGGCAAAAGATTTTTTTTTTTTTTTGGATGGAACTTAAGTCAATATTAATCATTACTTTTTGGCATAGTAATAAAATATTAATCTTTGAATATAACTTATTGAGTAGATACTAGTCTAGACTTGAACAACAATCATGCGTGCAACCAGAAAGTAAAGAAAAGCACATCCTTGCAATCCAAGTATATTCAGCACTGGATATAGACTATTTCGAAAAGTGAAGAATATATAACCAACAAAATACTTTTTGCATAAAAACCCAACAAAACCAATTCCAACCCCAGGCACTCTGCATTGCAGGTTTGCATTGATAATAGAGATTGGCTTGTCTATAAATTTATTCCCCAATTCAAGAAACATTGACAAGCAGTACCTTTGACTCCTCACCAAAAAAAAAAAAAACGAAGAAATACTTTTGCTAACAATGGCTTGAAGGTCCTGCATAGATTGGGCAAAGGTAGCATCTGAAAATCATGCTTGTGCTTACAGATGGATCATTTTGGCTTCACAATTGTCAAAATTCTGTATGTACCAGCGAGGAGAAATATGCTGCAAAACACATGAAGGTTAATCAGAAATCTGCTCATAAAGTACTAGGAAATAACTTGTGACAACTTTGACCCAAGGCACCACTCAAATGCAGATCAAGTGATGGTAGGTAAACTTTTTTCATTGCCTGTGGTCATGGAAAAACTTTAACAATCTGTGGAAGAAGAAGAGAGTTTACTCGGTGAATGCATATATTACAATGAGTGACAAGCGAAGCAGCTTGCAATTCCATATGTCCTGCCCAAGTCCCATCCTTTTCCATTGACTGACAATATTCATCAAATGGTACCTCATCCTCAATAAAAGGCTCGAACATTTCTCGATTTTTCTGTTAAATATAGCTCCACTAGTTAGTTAGGTACAATAACTTCTAGGTTCAGAGCCTATGGAATGTAACAGTGGACCAGGCAGAGCAAGAAAAGCCTACAATAAAGATGCCCAAAGAACATGAAAGCAGGTTTACTCAAACATCAAATAAACAGAATGCTACCTAACTAACAACCCAAATCTACAAAACATACACAAAATAAGTGTGATATTTGACATCATTATAAAAACAAAGAGTCTCACAAATTGAAAAAAATTATACTGACATCCTTTTCGACGTAAGATTCAGTTAGCCTCAGCTTAAAATCATTTAAAGGAAAATTTCAAGGCAATTGAGAACACCTAATACAACTACTAGCTTATAAAAAATATAACCAGCTGAGTTTGAGCTGTTGAGAACGAAATATATGACAAAAACATAAATTGTGTATCCTAAGTAACCATAAATGGAACAATTCTTTAGTGTAATTTCTCCAAATGACCTACTTGATTAGGATGAGAAACATTTAGATACCGTTTAAAAAAGCAGTCAAAGCATAATGTTCTCAGTCCAATTTTAAAAGCAAGACAAGACTAAACAAGCAATCCAGCAACAGGTCCAGAAATTTTTCAAGCCCTAACTCAACGCTCAAGTATTAATTTTGTTTCTTTAAGCGATGGATATTAAGAAATTAAAGGCATCGGTAAAATACTATACCATTATAAAACGGACTACCATATTCCGATATTTCTCATGCTCTTCCTCATTGCCTTCCAATTGATCCGCTAATGCTCTGCCCAAACAGCAACTACTTTCTCAAGTTACCACAATTACAATTACCAATAAATGAATACTGACAAGGGGAAAAGATAGGATACCAAGAAGATTATCAAATTATCGCACACCTGAAGAAACAATTACCATCTGCAGTGACTTGAATTATTTTTAGGCCCAAAGCATCCAGCTGCTGCTTAAATTCAGATATATCAGCTTGCTTTCCAGCCTTTTTTATCTGTTGCCAAAAATTAGGAAAAAAAATATGGAATTAGAAAACTAAAGAGCATTAGGGTTTTAATCAGAGCATTTCAATCAAAGTTCAAATTAGACTGGTTATATGAAATACCGGGGGACTTTATCACTTACGTGGGCAGATTTGGCAGTTGGTTTAGATTTTTGGTGCTTTGTTTTAATCATACTTTCTTAACTAAAAAAAAAAATTTGGCGCGTTTATGATGCAATTTTCCCAAATATTGATTCTGGAAGCTTTTAAAATTTAGGGCGGAGCAGAAAATGGAGAATTGAGAGGGTGAATTTTGTGTTTCCGAACCAGACGTCCGGTTTAATTCCGTTTATCTTTGATGCCAGAATGGCGCGACGGCTGTCTTCTCGTTTTCAGGACATCATCACCTCTAAGCCCTGTTGTACACGACTAACAAGTTACTTTGGGCTTTCGCTAATTCTTTGGGGCCAAAGGCCCAATTGGTTTAGCGAAAATTGAAGTGGTCATCATATAAGTAATTTAACCCCAAAAAGATTTTTTTTTTATACTATTTACGTGCCCTAATATAATAAAAAAAAACTTGGCACACAGTTTTAAAAATTTAGTAAATTAACCTATTGCGTGTACTTTCGTCAAAGGGCGTGCAAGAGTCTCCCATAACCCAAAGTCCATCGATAAGAACATATTATTATATGACTATAATTGGACTTTTAAACGCTTCTCCTTTTCCTTTTCTCCTTGGCCTTATACAAAATTTAAAATCTTCCTTGAACTTAAAAAAGGGGAAAAAAGAGAAAGAAAAATAGAGTGTATATTCAAAGGATGCGTGAATCTAAATATATCTAAATAGTACTTACTGTATATTAAATTTCTTAAGGGAGCTGCAAATGGGCCTGTTCAACAAGGCCGAGTAGTAAATAAGGTTGGGCTGAGTTAACCAAAAATCTAGGTTCTGCCCCTTCGAAGTCCAGCCCGTCTACTAATAGTGAATTAATTATGTACTGGCAGAAGAGGCACACTTTAGGGGTGAGTAAATCGAAAACCGAGTTTCTTTTTCACAATAAAATGGTAGGATTTTTTTTTTTGTCGGTAAATATAGAAGTTATTAATACAGAGTTTAATTTGCAGAGAGAGAGAGAGGCAAGTTATTGGAATTTTTTTTTTTTTGAAAGGAGGTTATTAGAAGTTAGAATAAAAGAAGTTGTTGAAATTGGATAAGTACTATTAGTTTGTTTGTGGTGATTTTATGCACTATAAATTTTTACTTATTTGGATGTAAAACTGAAATAACAAATAATGACAAAAAAAAAATTTAAAACACCAAAGGAAAGGCAATGCTCATACTTTATATGTGGAGGAAAGACATGTTAAGTATAATTGAGAACGTAAGAGTAATGAATAAAACAAATGACTATAGTAATGGGAGGTGGTTGATGATGGGTACTTGGTAACACATTCCCCAACTATCTGCAACAAATTTGTCTATTATATGCCAGGTACACCTCGGTAGGTACTAGGTAGGTTCTCTATTCAGGTTTCTTGATTTCTGATTAATATTCGTACTTGAATTGGAAAATCATGTTTAGAGTAGGATTTCATTGAAAACAAAGTATGGTAACTTAGAGCTTGCTACTTCATCAGTTAAATAATGGTTAGACTGTCATTTTCCCAAAACTAAAACGGTGGCTGCTGCGCTTTCATGTGTGATTTATCCTCCAATTTTGCAAGACACTGGCCTGTCTTCTGGGCCAAAAAACCCTTACATTCTCTAGATATTTTATGATGCTCATTGAGTCATTTTGAACTGACACTAATTTAACAACTACTAATTTAATTACACACTAATTCACCGTCTAACTTTTTTTTTTTTTTTTTTTACGGGGGTAAGGGTAATGGGTTCAATCATTGCATCCCACCGGTCACTATTTATGACTTTCTCCTCTTAGATTAATCTAGAATAGGTTATACAAACTGTTATCGTTGCCGATAAAGAAAAGATGCTACTGTTTCCTTGCTAAATAGTACACTGTGTTTCACCAACTCACCGGAATTACAGTAAAATTTTTAACCCCAGTAGTTGGTTGATCCAAGAGAGACAACCGCTCAACCGCCCTGCCAACAAGGTCTTTGTTGGCTAAGCATGGAGTTCTTTTCGCCTGTGACTGTGAAAATTACCGCGCAACGTTTTTTTTTCATCATTTATCTCACAAAATGTCGAAAGGAATCAGTCAGACGACAGAAGAAAAGTATACTTAACAACATCGGTTCTGAATTTTGCTAATAATGTGGTTCTTATTTTTTATTTTTTTTTTTAAGGCGATTCGACAAATATCGACTGGACTACTTATATGCAGAGGTGAATTATGAATGGTTCTTATTTGATAATCAACTAAGGTGGTGGTAGAACAATCCTTAAGTAGAAAATTCGACAAAAATTAGCTAAGTACAAAGAGAGATGCCCAAATGGTACGTTGGATCGCGGAAGAGTGGAACAGAAGCATGCCAAAAGATTATTGTCAGTGTCACATAATAAAGTTTTTGAGTCACCAAAAGAAGCGAAGAAAAAGGGGCCCCGGCCGTCTGCAGAGTCAATTACTATCGTGATTGATAAAAAGGTTAAGGAAGACTCCAAAAGCGGAACGAGCAAAGCGAACAAACATTGACAATGGATTAAGGCTGAAAGCATCTGTCGGAAAGGCAATCAATTGTCGAACCACCAACAGCAAAGTCGAATTGATGGCATAACTTTTGCTTGGACCTAAACCTTGAGGCCTAATGATGATAATTAAAAGCTCAGCTGCACAGCCTGTTTTTAAGTTTTCAAACCATTGCTCAAAAAAAGAAAAAAACTCTCAAACCATGGATATGTATTGCGGAATTTCACATCAGTAGGCCCTAGCATCTCAATCACCACACTCATCCAAGTTTGTTGAAGCTATCATGAAATCGGATGTAACGTTACTTGATGCTTTTAAAGAAACCCCAACAATCCTTTAAAAAAATAAAAAAGAAACGCTAACAATTAAAGAAAAAGGTTCATTTTTTTATGGAGTAAATTGAACAACGATCCCCAAACTATTATTTTATACGTTTTTAACCCTTAAACTATATCATGCATCATTTAAATCCATAAACAAATTAGTATGTAAGTTTTTGGCCTTTATGTTAATTTTTGCTATTTGAGCTAAGTGAATGGAGGGAGAGAGGAAGAAGAGGCAATAGGTAGTCTGTCCTTTCTCTGCCTTTTTTTTTAAAGGTTTGTCCCTCCATTCTTTTATATATATATGTATATATATATATATAATATTTCTTTAAAGCGCAAATAGGAGGTCTTAAATCCAAAATCTCTTACTTACGTCCGTTCTAAAACTCTAAAAACTTACTTATTAACTTGTTTAATAGGATAAACAATATAGAGTAATACAGTTTAAGGGTGAAAAGTGTATAAAAGTAATAATTTAGTGGCCGACTAGACAATTTACTTATTTTATTTGGTAATGTGAGCACTTTGTTTTTTTGTCTTTATCAAGTGTAAGCATTGCACTTCTAGACGACTAAAGCCATATTCTATTTTTTTTTAATTAATTAGGAGAAGCTGCGATTGGTTGGTTAACAAAATTTATGAATTAAAGGAAAAAAAAGAGAAGAAACACTATAAACTTTGGTTTATGAGTAATCTTATATACACTTCCAGTGTATACACTATCACTGTTAGATTCATGACATATGTGTAAGAGTTAAATTTAATACACTGACAGTATGCTGCAATATTTTAACCATAAGTATTGCCCACCTTCCATGTATGAGTTGTACGTAATTTATGACTATTTTTTTTTTGGAAAAATATAATTTACGACTTTATGTATCTATCAAAGAATTAGACTACAATTTACTACATTATTGGGTTAAAAAAAAAAAGAGAATGAGACTATACAGCTTAACCAATCAAAAACGAGACTGGTTTACAAGTATTTAGCTCAGAATACATAAAGCAGTTTGCAATAAAAGTACGCGCATATGCAGATATTTGCATAACCGCCACTTCTCTAAGAGTAGGTGCTCTATTATTTTATCTAAAATCTTGACAGCACCGACACAGGATATTTTCACCAACTTAATGCTCTCTTTTTTGTTACAAAACTAAAAACTTGGACTTGGCAGGGACGGTTGTCCGATCGATGTCCCAGAGCAGTACAACTCCCTCCGTAGAAATTGTAATTCCTTCTAACTACTTTTACATATTTATAGTAAATGGTACGATATTCTGTTACTGTTTGTGTGAATTTTCTATATAATCATTGCATGTTTGTTGGGAAATTTTATAAATAATTCAAGTAGAATTACAAATTATTCGATGAAGTTACATTTTATTTAAGAACGACTGATTTGACAATCTTCTTTGCCCCAAATCCTTGAGGCGTGGGATAATGAGTGTGTTTGAATAGTAAATTATTTGGAATAATTTTTTAAAAATAATAATATTTTTTTAATATAATACATATGAAATAAAAAGATAATTAAAAAATATTTGATGATGCAAGGCAAATAAATTTTGACAAAAAATACTAGTAGTTAAAGATTGCTCCAGAGGTCAAGGGTTCAAATCTTGTCTCCCATCAAGGTGTTTCAATATGAGTTTTATTCTAAATCCGTACGTGCATCCGTCTTATTTGATGGTGATTCAGTTTCTATCATATTTTCCTGACTAGATTCCCCTTCCCCGTTCCTTAGAAATAAGAGTAGGTTAGACATGCGACCGTTGCGACAAAAAATGAAAAGAAAAGGTGGCTCTAGAACTAGTAGCATCTGATTAAATAATTACACGTGAGAAAGTATTCTCCTTTTTTGAATTACTCAAATACTAGTTAGGTGGTTTGATCAGGACAGATACAGTACACATGAATCATGTCAGAATTGACAAGGACATGGACTCCCCCTCTCGGTGTCCGTTAAACCAAAGCAACCCTCGGAAAACAGCCCTTCTTCTTTGGGTTAATTTGTTTTTGGCGCTCCAACGTAGCCAAATATCCCACTTCACCCCTGAAAAGTGGAAAAGCTAATCTCATCTCCCGGCCAATTTTTTTTTTTTTTTTTTTTGTTTAAAGCAGACCTGTCGTTTATTTTGATAGTTAATACAAGTCCTTTCTCCAATATATAGACAATATACATGTACTACACCCTTTTTCAGTTTAAATGGTTTTCTTTCTCTACTCTTTTCTTGTTATGTAATTCAATTGGGTAGGAAGGATAAATGGGCTATTTTTGTTGTGTACTCTACTTACCTAAATTGGAGCCTAGTATGGAGGCATTTTTGTCGTTTGAAGGGTCAAATTACAACTCTTTCGTCGAGGACAATTACAACTGTTGATGGGCTAAAAATAGAAT